GCTCAGTCACCGAAACAGCCTCTGGTTGTATTCAAGTTGCACAAAGTACCTTCTCAGTGAGTCAGCAGGAAGGGACTTGTGGTATTCATCAGACTGATACAGGTTTAAACTTGGGGCCAGTGCTGTGCCTGAGGCCACTGAGCAAATGTCCTAGAGTACACCAAGTCTAGCCGCCACCCACCGGGTGCTTGCACACCTTTGTGGTGGGGCAAGGGGGTCTCAGGGAGTCATCCTGGTGAGGCCGGCAGAGTTTACTAGGCCCAAACAGACCAAGATGTGGTCTTTTAAAGGGAGGGCTCTGCACCATCAGACATTTGAAAGAAAAATGACCCATCCCAGAGCCACACAACTCAGTCTGTCCCAGATTCTGCCTGGAGCCCAGTCTCAGCAGGATGGGGACACTAAGTCAGGGGGGTGGGACTAGTATATCTCCTATGACAGGGAGGGGCCCTGCCCTAGAGCCACACAACTCCCTGTCCCACATTCTACCCAGAGCTTGGCAGGGTGGAGCCTCAAGCAGTCAGGAGGGTGGGGCGACAGGAGTCCAGAGAATGGGACTAGCAAATCTCTCATATGCAGGAGGCACCAGTCAGTGGGGGAATGGCCCCCTCCTCAAAACCACACCACTCAGTAACTAACACCCCCTGAATCTGCCCAGACCTCTCCACCCCAGCCCAGGCAGCTGCCTCCTCAGCAGGGTGCACGCTCCACAGGGTGGGGTAAAAGGGAGTCCAGAGAGTGGGGCTACTGTACTGCCCCAAGTTGATGCCAGACAGAGGGGAGTGCTCTACCAGGAAAGATGTGGGAGAGTGACTCAGCAGAGAGATCCTGGCAGCTGTCCCTGCAGCTCCCTCCCCAGCCATAAACTCATCTCTCCTCACACTACTCTAGTCTGCTCTGCCCACCCTCTGCCAGAGCCCAGAGTAATCTCCTGCACAGCCGTACAGGAGCTTTTGTGTGTCGCCCTTCAATAAGGCTCCTGTCTCCAGCAGACTTCTGACTCTCCCTGGTGGACAGAATCCCTGCTGATTTTCACAGGCAGATGTTGTGTGGGCACCTCTTCCAGACCCTGGTGCTCTGGGGAGCCTGGCTTGGGGTTGAGGACCCCCCCACCCCCTTCTCAACAGGAACCTTTGCAGCTGAGAAATTCCTCTGGAATCTTCCTCTGGAATCTCAGCACTGCCCCATGGGGGGGTCCATGGAGGCAGGGTCAGCCCCTTTCATGTCTCTGCCCTTCCTGTCTCAATGTGGCTTCTTCTGTAAATCCTTGGTTATCTCTATTCAGGTTATTCGGGTTGATTGCTCTATGTATTAGTTGTAATTCCACTTTGGTCCTGGGAGGAGGTGAGTGTAGCTCCAACCTACTTGGCTGCCATCTTGAAAACCCTCTGACTGTATTTGAAGCAGACACTTATTCTGCCTCAAAAAGAGGCCTATGGCTTCATGGTTAGGCTCTCAGGCTGAGTAGGTGTGATTTCATGGGCATAAATTTTCGTACCTTCATCTGAATTATAATAGCACTAACCTCATAATTTGTGCCGGCATCACAAGGGAATACATGTTAAGTTGCCTGGCTCTTAATTACTTGATAGTTGTTAACTATCATTTGCACTCCCTACAGTCCCTTACATGCTGCAGGCTTTCAATTATTTGTTGGTAGAACTTATGCTGATAAATACACTCACGCCTAGTAACGTATTAACATTACCTGTGCGGAAGGACGTAATTAACCATGACCTAGCAGCACGTGGGCTTGGATTACCTCCATAGGGCCAACTCTTCAACCCCATCATCGAGGTTGGGGCTGTCCAGTACAACTTCCTGCGATGGTGGCAATGCGTTATCATCTGGGCTGTCCGATAAAGTAGTCCAGGTAGCTACATGTGGTTATCGAGGACTTGAAATATGGCTGGAACATGAGACGATTTTTTTTCATTTTAATTAGTGCAACACCCTCTAATGATCAGCGCTACCCTATTGGACAGGGCAGCTCTAGAACTTGCCTCCTCCTGTCAGCCTCTTTAAATTGTGTCCCTTTCTCTCTAGCAAAGGAATATTCTCTAACCCAAGAAGTAACTCTGACTCAAAGCATCACAACTTCAACCGATTCCAAGCTCTTTATTTCTTTAGCGGTTGCAGGTGTCTCCACTGTGTCCCTTCACCAAGCGCTGGCGTGAGAACAGCACCCAACACCCAGCCACTCGGACAGTCCCAGGAGACAAAGTGAGTCATACATCTAATGACAGGAACTCATCCAACAGAAACACTGACTGCGTTTCCGCCTCCTCTGGAGGAGTAGCAGGGCGTGCAAACCAATCGTCTAGACAGGCGTGGCAAAAACGTGACCCGCGCGGGGGCGGTCAGAGCACGCCTCCCTCCGATCGAGCGCCCGCGAGGCTGTCCGCCTGTCCTCCCACGCCGGACGCCGCTGCCACGCGCTCGCGTGCCAGTCAGCACGGCCGGTCGTGGCCCCCACCCCTACCGGTGTCGCGGCGTCCAAAACCAGAGCCTGTTCTCCTAGCTAATCTCCACCCGCTCCCACAAGAGAATCATGCCTCCTGCCCTGTTCGTAAGAAGCGTCTCCAAACCCCACCCACGAAGCATACCCCGAGCTGCTCCAGGCTAACCGTCCCCCGTACAAAATGGCGACACGGCCGGGGAGACGACCATAGAGACATCCGCCCTCTGCGAGACAGCGCCAGCCTCTTCGGGGCGTCCACGCTCCCTGCGCGGCGAGCGGAGCTCGCGTTCCGGCGGAGGCGGGAACAGTGTGCACCTCCAAAGGCCCTTCTAGGAGAACAGCGAGCAGTCTCGGTGGTGTTGGGTCCTCCGAGCCGGTCACGTGGCTGGAGGAAGCCACCGCGGGGGCGGAGGGAGGAGAAAGGGGCGGGAGGCCGAGGGGCGGGGGTATTGTTGGAGATCCAGCGACTACTGGGTTGTCATGGAGCGGCAAGGCCGGGCTGGCGCATGCGCCACCTGACCCGCAGGTTGGTCGTGAAGCGGCGACCTCGGCCCTAGGTGAGAAAAGAGGACTGGGCGCACGAAGAGAGGGTTTGGGCGAGGAGCGTGGGGAAAGGAGGTGGGAGTAGGGGAAAGAAGGGACGCGAGGTAGTCAAGAGGAGGAACTTGGACTTTTGGGGGCCAGAAGGCCAAATGGTGGGATCTGATGCTGTGCGTCCCTCTCCGACTTGGTTGGTTTGGCTGCGTGGGGTGGGACTGCCTGGGGGAAGGAATCACGGGTGGGGACGGGGCTCTGTCCCGAGAGGGGGCTTGTGTTTGGTGCCAGGGGTGCAAGACCGGGGGGCCAGGGTCTCTGAGGTTAAAGCCTGCAGGGCTTCCGGGCAGGGGGAGAGCCTGAAGGCCCCCTGCCAAGTTATAAACGGAGGGGCAGGGAAGGGGCAGGTGAGTGGGTGTGGGAGCTGGTAAGCCGGTGAGGGGTCCGGGGCACAGGTGTGCTATCTTTTTCAGAGACCTGCTGTCACTCCCTCACTTGGCTGGTTTGTTTCCCCTGGGTGGCCAGCCGGCCGGGCAGGGTGCCGGGGTCGGCGAGATGGGGAAGAAGTACCAAGTAAGGGGTTGGTGGCTGGGTTGAGCGGAGCTCGGATCCAGGCCCAGGTGCAGCCCGAATTCGGGCTCTCCGTTATTGCCCAAGTCCTGGCAGTATGCACTGCCTGGGCGTTCGCCCCGGGAGGTTGGTGGAATGCCAGCCACAGCACCGTCCTAGTAGGGTCTGCCCAGTTCCACCCTGCCGAGCTGGCAGGCTCGCCTGCCTGGAGGGTGCTCCTGCTGCCCGGCACAGCTGCAGCCTTGGCTGACGCGGATGGGGAGGTGGGCACAGGTATTGTGGGCCCTGCTGGAAGCAGGGAGTTTGAGGGGAGGAGAATGGAGTGAGCCATACCAGGTGCCAAACAGAGGACATTGTATGGGATCGGGGTGTAGCACCTTTGACATGGATTTTTTGCAGCCGAGTGGAGGAATGAAAATGGATGTGAAGGGGAAGATAAATATTAGAGATCTAGGTAGATGGGTAGGGGTGTTCTCTGTTACAATAGACGTTTCCCCAGTTATAATACAGATATTTCCCCAGGATGGTATCTCCAAACATGCAGACCAAGAGAAAATGACTTCAGAGAAACCTAGTAATTCTAACTGGGATTATTCATGGTTTTCTGGGTGGAGAGGCCTTATGGCCTTGTCACTTTATTGTATTTAAGTCTCTGCTTGGGCTTTCTCCTCACAACTCTGTGCATGCACGCGTGTTATACATGTGACACATTTTAAAGGGAACTTGAGCTCCCGGGAAAGTTGCCAAGTATCTATAAAAGGAGAGATCCAAGAGCAGCATTTCAGATCCTTTCCATGTAAACCTTAGTTCTCCTTTTTACCATAAGGCTACATCATCATAGAGATTGTTTTGGGGTTACCCAACCTTAGTTTGGTTGATGGATTTATCCCTGTTTTCCTCGGAGAATCAGGGGTAGATGAGAGACCTGCTTCCTGCAGGAGACCAGAACTGGAAGTTAGATGTGGCGGCGACAGTGGTGTTTGGAAATGCAGAATCTTGACCTTCCAGCTGTTCAGGTATTTCAGCGACAGCCAAGCTGCTGGGGCTGTCAGTGAGTCCCAGCAGGACAGAAGAGCTGGAGGAATTCATTATTCTCTTGAGTCCCTCATACATATTGTTGGGGGCTGAGTTTTGCAAAAATAAGGAAAACCCAGCACCCAAACTGTTGATGCTGAGGAGACAAATAATAAGCTTGAGTGGTAGAAGTGCAAAAATAGAGCCAAATGCTGTGGAGCGCTTGTTAGAATGCTATCGAGTACCTGTTTATATAAACCTCTATATTTACATTCACTTTCATGATAAGTTTTAGCACTCACTGTTCTCTCTGCGGACCTTTGGACCCTGTGTTGCCTGTGCATTTAGTAAGGGGCCCAATTAGGGTTGATCCTGACAGTTCAGGGAGCTTACAGTGGAGTCCTTTTAACGCAGAGTCAAGCACTGAGGATATGCCATGTTTGTAAGACAGTTTTTTTGGTTTCCAGTCTGTGTCAGGAAGCAGAGATGACACAGTGGGTGACAGCGTGGTAACCCATTTTCAACCCCTCGTCAGCTCATGAGCATCTGTCTGTATTGCAAAATAACACTGGGGAGGAAGGAAAAACCCTTCTGAGGTTTTCGGACTTTGCCGTCCTTCTGGCGCTGGGTGTGAGAGCGCCGGGATAGACACCATTACTCGGCCCCTCTCCTGGGAAAGCCCTGTCTGCTACCATGTGCACGTGAGTGGGTCTGCTGTTCACGGGCTGGTGTGTCCTCAGTGCCACTTCCGGGAAGGAAGTGCCCCTCTCGGAGCAGAGGGGCCAGGGTGGGAGGCAGCCCTGTGTTCTCCAACTTTGTTGGACGCCCCTGGGCATTAAGGCTTTCTGCTGCATAGTGAGAACTGAGGGCGGAGGCGTTCACGTTTTTAGACACTTGCGCATCCAGCGTAGTTCACTTACTATTCTCCAGCGGACCGTGTGGTTTTTACTTCCAACTGCCACCAGTTCCCCAGGATCTAACATTTTAGCATCTGTTTTCCTTTTCACCAGTTTGTCAGTGTTTCAGCGTTTCGATTCCACCATCAGTATTGTCCTGCAGGTCCATGATGGGCCAGAATAAATTCCTCGGTAGCTTCTGTAGCTCTACGAACCACATTTTCCTATCAGCAGCAAGCCCTTGTCTTGTCACAAGGGTTGCAGAAGACTAAACTGGGATTCTTTATCTTAAAATACCTGGAAAACAATCTATATTTTGTAAGATAATGGAAAACTTTGTCAAGTTCCTTTAATTTTTAGGGGGGGGGGAGAAAAAGAGGGAGAGCAACATCAGTGTGTGAGAAAAATATCACTTGGCTACCTCTTGCACACCCCCAGCCAGGGACCTGGCTCACAACCCAGGCATGTGCCCCGACAGGGAATCAAACGGGTGCGTTTTCAGTTTGTAGTACAACGCCTAACCCACTGAGCCACACCAGCCAGGGCGGTCAAGTTCTTAATCAGTTGCAGCTAACATGAGCCTCTTTCCTAATCTAAATCAACAGCAGGGTCAGACCTGAAAAAGTCCGACGGCCCATCCACAAGCTACAGCTCCTCCCATTTTGAAGAAGCCTCCTATTCACTTTCAGATGGTGTTATTTCAGGGAAACGAAACCACGCACATGCACATTCGTTGGGTTTCACATAAAAGGATCACGACCTAATTAGAGATACATTTTCACACGTCACTCTACTTTTTAAGCCGTATTGTCCATGCTGTTGGCCTTCCTGGCCGTCCCAACACGGAGATGTTGCTTTTGCATAATGCTGTGTGAGACGTGACAGTGCCATTGTCTATCTTCTGTGCACAAAGGACTAACCCTTTGACCTGTCAGAGACTGCTTAGTCTGACATGGGAAACCAGTTCCCTGAAATGAGGTTGATGTGGCACAAAATAAGTTTTGCTTGGAGTTGTGTTTAAAATTCAGTCTCATTCAGATTAGTGTGTTCCCTTTAGTCCATTTATACTGTATGCAAAAGTATGAGCAAGAGGGTTGCTCAGAGATGCTCATAGGCACCCTTGTCTTCTATTTCATTTTATTTTGAATCCCTCCTCTGCTTCTGGAGTAGTTGATGTTCTTCATGAGATCCCGTATTAGCAGAAATGTTCAGACTTGGCATTGCAGGGTATTCCAGACACAGTGCTGTTTGGCGGGGGGCTCATGCTTCTCTGTACCCGGGACAATTGGATGGAGCTGCAAGTGGATTATGAATTAAAGTGTCACTAGGCTTTGCTTACACCTTAGTCCACTTGGGCTGCTATATCACAGACTGGGTGGTTTATTAACAACAGGAATTTATTCTAGTGGTTCTAGAGGCTGGAAGTCCGAGGTCAGAGGGCCAGCGTGGTCAGTGAGGGCCCACTTCTGGGTCATGGACTTCTCATTGTGTCCTCACACGGTAGAAGGGGCTGGGAGCTCTCTGGAGCCTCTTTTACAAGGCTCTAATCCTGCTCCGAGGGCTGCACCCTCAGGATTTAAGCACTTCCCAAAGGCTACCTCCTAATCCTGAGGGTTAGGGTTTCAACTCGTGGATTCGAGGGGAGCACAAACATTCAGCCCAGCACTTCCCAGTTTTATTATTGTCATTGTCCTTGTCGGCCTCCTGTTGTCTTTTTAGCCCTGTTGTGTCTCTGTGTTCTTGTCACCAGTTCTCAGTGCCTCAGATGGCTTAGTTAAAATATCTGGAGCATTTTCAGCCTCTGCTAGCCCTTGGAAGTACTCGTTCGTCTAATTCTCTGCTCTGAGCTCAGTTATGGATCTGCTGTGGGCACGCTCTGTGTCACTGGGGCGAATCCAGACCTCTTCCCGGGCTCCCAACAGGTCCATGTGACAGTGTCTCCACTCACATGGCCCGCAGCCACTTCCCGCAGTGGCCTGAACTGAATCAGCCCGGCCACCTCACCACATGTCCTCTGGGCCCTTCTTGGTGCCCAACACCATCTGCCCCCTGACATACAGTCACTGAGCCCCATCCAGTTAGCCTCCTAGATGTGTCTCCAGTCCATTCACTTCTCTGCGTGTCCACTGCCGCCATCTTATGTCACCTGGACTGTGTCATCGAACAGCAGTGTCTAGATGATCTTAGTGCCACTCTGGCCTCTTCCTACTTTAGTCTCAGTCCAGCATCCACACGCTTTAGAAATGCAGATCCGATCACACGCTTCCCGTTAAAATCTTTCCGTGACTTCCCGTCACTCTTAATAGCTGAAGTCTTTACAACATGGGTTACAAGGCGCTGCCTTTCTGGCCCCCACCAACCCTTCCTGTGTCTGGGCGTGGCCTTACCCCCACCCCACCCCACCCAGCCCTGGCCTCCCTGGCCTTTCAACTCTTTGTAGGGGTCAGGCTTCTTTCTCCCTGAGGACCTCACACTTGCAGGCCCCTCCCCCAGCTCACTTTTGAACTTCTGCTAACTCCCAGTAGCTCTGGCTGATCCCCCAGATCCCAGCTGCATGTCACTTCCCTGTCCCCCAGACTATTAGACTATTAGCCCCGCCCCTTCATAGCTGTTATCTAAATAACAGCTATGATTATTTTGTGTGATTACTTGGTCTATGTCTGACTCTCTCTCTAGAATACCAGCTCCAGGAAGTAGACCGTGTCTATTTGGCTCACCCTGTATCCCCCGTCCCAGCACAATGCCTGGTTCATAGTGGGCACTTGCTAAATATTTATAAATGACTCAATGTGACGTAATCTGAACCTCAACCTCCTTTTCCCTAAAGAGGTACAGCAACATCAACAGCAATAATGTTATGGGCTTGAGGTAACATTAGCAGAAATAATGTTACAGGCTTTTATAGAAGCAAAGCACTATTCTATATGATCTTCTCTGTGCATAAAAGTTCTTTTTAAGCCAAAAGGGAGCATGCATATATAAGGAGTTGTTTTTGCTCTGTTCAGTAAAACATCCAAAGAAGTGAAAGGTTAATTTGAGAAACCACACCGTGGGAGGTGGCGAGTGTGTCCTGGGAAAGCAAGCCTCGTCCCAGATGGGCATTCCCTCCAGGGTGACTTACCGGGTCCAGAAGCCTACTCAAATGCGCCTTTGTTAGCTGTTTACAAAGCCTCCGCTGAATGTGGCCTGTGTGCCTTGAATCTGTAATGGAATTTGAGGGCAGGGAGAGGACAGTGAACCTCCTTTTGGGTGGAAACCCTTCTAGTGTTTAGTAAACTTGAAGCCTCCTCAGTTGAGACCCCTGAGGAGACGCAGAGGAAGTGGGTGAGGCCAGTGTTTTTCGAGACTCACTTTACGCACCATTTTCGATCACCTGTTTCAGCTCTCTAGGGATGGACTTCTTACATAATTGTTGTTTCCACAGGGCACTCCAGATGCATTTGCTTCCAGCCCAGTAAAACATGGAGAGGAAAAACCCACCCAGAGAGAGCCCCAGGAGACCCTCGGCCAAACCGGGCAAAGGCGCGGAGGCGAAAAAGGGGGCTCGTCGACTGGGCACCGCAGCTGCCGAGTCAGACAAGGACTCCGGATTTTCAGGTTAAAAATACCTCCTCCCTTCTACACTGTAAAGTTCCTCCCTATCACTCATTTGTGTGGTAAGGATGGGAAGCTCTCATGTACAGAGTAAATAAATATGTGATCTTTTAAAATGGTAATTCTGTGGCAAGGTACACATCAGAGTGACCTTGGGGTTAGTTGCAAAGGAATGATTTTGACCTCTTTTTTCAACTCAGACGCTCAGTTTTAAATCTTACATTTCCAACGGTTGCAAATGGTTACTGGAAAAAAAATTTCGGTACCCATAATTCTGCTGTCTTAGCTCCTTTTTCATGGGAATAGTTACACTGCAGGAAAAATACTGCATGCTGTTTCCAAGTAACAGATTAAACAAAAGTAACATAGCATTTGTTAAGATAACTTTTTTGCTAAGAAGGTAATTTTGCTGTGCTCAAAAATGCTTCCCCTCTACAGCCCACCCTCACGGGAGCCATGCGTCCTATGTTCGGACTGTGAGCCTCTGGGCCCAGTTCCAAACTTGAGCGTCCTCGGGGCTAAGAAAGTAGAATGATTTTCCTTAGCGGCTTGTCTTAAATCTTACCTGAAAGGGCCAGCTGCACACCCAGGGAATCTTGGTTTTGTGCTGAGGCTCTTTTCCATGTCCAGGTCCGAGGGTGGTCTTGACACTGGACTATGGCTCTAGTGTCAACATTTTGTCCCGGGGGAGGCAGACAGTGATGCTGGGGACTCCGGCTGGGGTGCCACCCTGAGGCGGAACCCTTCCAGAGGAAGGCGGATGTCATCCCGCCTCCCCGAGACTAGTCAGTCCGTCCTGTTGATTCCTTAGCTTATTGCGAGAAGTACAGCTGTTAGGAATAGTAGATCTGCCTCATCCTTAGGTTGGTGTATTACATTTTCCCCCAGTGGACAGAAAATTACAGATAGACTGTTGCTCAGGGAGGAACAGAGCACCGACTGACCAAGGAATTAAAATAAGGATGGTCCTGAAAGGGGAGGGCCAGCGTGTAGCCCTCGGGGCTCTTCTCTATCGCTTTGCACTGTTTCTCAAGCTTGCCTCCTCGTAAGGCCCACCTGAGGCCTTTGGAAAAAACACTGCTCCCCAGGCCCCTCTCCGGGACGTTGGCACATCAAGGGTCTTAGGGGAGGGCCCAGAGTTTCTGGTGCTTGGTGTGATCAGACAGGTTTGGGAAACACGCAGGCTTCATGCCTGTTTTTTCTTTGGATGTCATGCTTGTTTTCATCTGTGTTTCATGTCACGAAGGTAATACATGTTCATTATACAAGCTTAGAAATGTAGAGACATGCAAAGAAAAAAATAAACATCATTCATCATCCCACCACCTATTTTTCTCAGTACTGTTGACATTTTGGCTCTTTCCACCATTGTCAGGATAGTTGTTTTCTACTCTGCCCCGAGGTCTGGACAGGGCTTCTGACAGCTTCCCTGCTCCCCACGCGGAAGACCTTCACGAAGCACTGTGCCGGTCGGACACAGGCTCTAGTAAGACCGACCGGACATGTTGTGCTCCAGAAAGTGACCCCAGTGAACACGTCTGGCCACATCAGGGCCAGTGCCAGTGATTTCGTCACTGCCCGCCTTATCATTTCAGTTACCTGAGAGCACGGCATGATCTGCAGTTATTAATCAGCTGCAGTCCACACTCCGAGTTTTTCCCATCGTCCCAATAGTGTCCTTTACGGCCGTGAGTCATGCGGTCTGTTGTATATCCAGAGTCTATTGAAGTCGGTGCCTTTCATTTAGTTGCCCTGTCGTTTTCGTCGTATTTAGTTCAGAACAGCGCCCTCATCTTTCCTTTTCTGTGTTTTTTTTTTCTTTTTTATGACATTGACATCTTTGAATGAGTTAGGCCTACTCTGTAGAATGCCCCACACTCTGGATTCTTCTGGTAGCTTCCCGATGACTAGAACCAGGATAAACATTCCTTTTACCAGACTACTACATTCTTTTTTCTGTTAACATCCTTCTCATTGCACATACAAGGAAACTCTTAAATGTGGCTTACTCTTGGCGATGCTCTGGCTGATCACTCAGTTTAAGGCAGTTTTAATACTTGGTTAAGGTACTATACTAGGTTTCCTATTGTAAAAGTGCCCTTTTCTCCTTGTAATTATAAGCATGGTATGAGATGAGATTTTGAGATTGTGTGACTATCCTGTTCCCTGCAAACTCTTGACCAGTAATTTTAGCATCCATCGATGGTCTTTGCCCAAATCAATTACTGCTTTTGTGGTTTAAAAATAGCGATCTACTTCTATTAGTCCTTGTACATTTTATTAGCTGACATTCTTTGGAAAGAAGCACTTTCCCCCCTCACCCCGTTTTTGAGTATCACGGTGGTTCATGGAATTCTTTTGTAATTCATTGTGTTGATACATTATCACTATTCTTTTCTATACTCAGATTGCCCCAGATTTGGCCTTCCCGTTAGCTCCCCCGTGTCTTTTTGACACCCTCCATTTGTGTTTGAGTACCTCTTTGTTTTCTGGGACCATAAGATGTCCAGGCTCATTTTTAACCTTTCCTGCCAAAGACTTGGAATCCAAGGAGCCCTGGTTTCCTTTCTGTGCAGGATGGCGTTTAGGAACCAAGACGCGGGCACCAGCTGTGCACTCTGCTCCCAAGGTCTTTGTTTCTGGCCTCATGGTTCTTAACCAGAGGTGCCCAATTGTGAACCTGTAGCTGCCTGGGTACCAGATGAGTTAGTCCCGTGGATTGAGGGGAGGACCCCAACATCTGTAATTCTAAAAGCGTCCCTGGAGACTCTGATTTAAATGCAAGTGTTGACCGTTGTCCTCATTTAAATTAAAGTCACATTCAGGTCCTGCCTCATCCAGATTACTCTAAGAGCCTCGGTGAGCACCAACTCCCCCCCCCCCCCCCCCCGCCCCCGCCAGGCTCCTCACAGGGCTACTGCTGTCTCTGGGTTTTCTCCAGCAGGGAGCTGAGTACTTTTTGACGGATCACACGAGGTCAGTCTATTTTCTTTTCTTCGGAGAGCATCTGTATCCCAGGGTGCAGGACCCCCAGTCATCAGGACCCCTAGTCAGCATGCCCGTGGGGTCCTTAAGGCACCAGCGAAGGAGGCACCTAACCCGGTGGAGGGAGCAACAAAGACAGACACATTTTAACTTCAGCGTTGGTGAACTTGCCCAGAATTTACCATTAGAAAACTTAGAAAGAAGCTGTTTTAGTTTCAGCATGGATATAAATTTTGAGGTTTACAGACTGGTTTTGTTGTTGTTATAATTCCATCGTGGGAGGCCCAGAGCCCCTCGGAGGCCTTCGTCTTGTCCCGGGTCATGCACACACCACCCGCCCCTCTCAGTGATGCACGGTGGTTCCCCGGTGCACCGGTGGGGACTGCTGTCACGAGCCCGAATGGACGCAGGCCCTTGCCTGTGAGAGAGGTAGGAGGGGGTCCCAGGGCAGTCCGGCTTTTGGGGTGGCAGAGAGAGTTATGGACCCCATTGAGAATCCATTGAAAGTGAAAGACCCTGCCCTCCGAAAAATCCACAAAAACCCATCCCAGGAACGTTCCATCCAGTTTCAAGGGGTGCCGCCCCCCACTCCCTGGGAGGCCTGCCTAGGAGCCCCTGTCCTGAGTGAACCGACCGTTTTTCTGCCCGCCAGATGGGGGTTCGGAATGTCTGAGCTCGGCCGAGCGGATGGACGCCGAGGACGTGCCGGGTGCCTCGGGCTGGAGCCGGCCGGACAGGCCGGGGCGGAACTCCAAGACGGCAGGCGGTGCCTTGCCCACGCTGTCCCCCATGGTCGTCATGAAGAACGTGCTGGTCAGACAGGTGAGGAGGGACGTCCTCTCCCGACGCCTTTGCAAACGAAGGTGCCGGGGCAGACCACCGGCAGGCAGGCAGGCAGGGTGCGCGCCGTCCTGGGGAGAGGACGTTTTCTCTCCACCACGGACAGCAGTGTGAAAAGGGCTGCAGGAGTTGTGACGTGTGTTCTCATGTTCCACACGGCGAGGCTGGTTTATTTTTGTATCCCTGGTTTGTTCACAGGGACACTGGAATTCTTTTTTCTTTTATCATCACCAGAGGATAGATCCATCGATTCCAGAGAAAGAGAGAAACACTGATGTGAGAGGAACATCAGTTAGTTGCCTCCGATATGTGTCCCAACTGGGGACTGAACCCGCAACCCAGGCCTGTGCCCTGACTGGGAATAGAACTGGCGACCCTTCAGTTTAGGGGGCGACACACAACCAGCTGAGCCCACCAGCCAGGGCGGTACCAGAATTCTTTAGTCTCGTGGGAAGGAACCAGATGGAAGTGTCATAACTTCCAGTGCAAGTCTATATGTGAGAGAGTTTAGGGTGTAAACAAAAGGATCTCTTTTTAATTTGAAACGCCCCGGGAGTTTAGAAATGTAGGATGCATCTATCTGTTTGAGAGGCAGAGGCAATTTCCATGTCTCTCAGGTCACGTTGAGCATTTTCTCGGTAATCAGCTGGAGACGTGTCACCAGTGAGAAAGCAGCTCAGTGGTGCAGGGACGGCTGTCCCAGCAGAGGCCACACAGCTTTGCCCTGGAGCTTAGAGACCCCGCTGTGGGCCCTGTTACACAGCTGTACGTGACACGTGATTATGGTCCAGATGTGCAAGAAAAGAAGATTTAGGTGAAAATCTGAGCCCCATGTTTGAAACAGAGAACTTAATCACGCGAACTGGGTTAAAGAATGTTTAACCCTTCCCCACTTTGCTCTAAATTATATCGGTTCTCACGTGGGTCCGTGGGTTCATTGATGAGGCTGCTTGAAGCTAGTGACATGTGAAATCTGGCTTTATATTGTTGACCTTCCCACCCTCGGCAGAAGAACATTCATGCCTTTGGCCTGACACAACACCTTAACGTCTTAACTATTCCCCAGTTATGTCTGAGGAACACAGACTGATTTTCAACAAGGCATCCTGGTGAGTTCAGAAAAAAGAATTTGAAGATTTTTGCTTGGCAAATCACATCTCGGTGGGAAGGACAGCTCTGCTTTTTGAACAAAGAGAGAGAATCAAGACACGAAATGGAGCCCAAATGAGCTTCGCTGGTCCACCCCACCAGCACTGAGGCGCTGCCCAGAGCGTCCATGCCCAGGGCTTCCATTCCCCGGCTCTTCCTCTCCCCACCTCCCTCTCTGGCACCCTTGTCGCTGTTTCTTGTGTGTCTGTGTTTGTATGCCTTCCTTGTCGTAGGCGAGGCTGGCAGCTCCGAGGGCTGAGGACAGCCCGCAGCTGCAGGATGAGCGGGCTTTCCCGGCAGAGCTGCCGTCTGCAGGACAAAGACCTGCAGGGAGGGCTGCTGGGCTGCCAGGCTGCTGGATGGGAGGCTTGGGAGAGCTGAGGTCACCAGGCCGAAGTCCTGGCTTAGTCTAGGAGTTTTGTCTCGTTCTTTTCCGCACATGCTAGAATCCAGCATATCCCAAGATTGAAATAGTGATATACTTTTATTTTTTTGTCGTTGTTTTTTTAAATTTATCTTTAGAAGGGAAGGGAAGGAGAGAGGGAGAGAAATATCAATGTATGGTTGCTTCTCGTGCATCCCCTGCTGGGAACTGGCCTGCAACCCAGGCATGTGCCCTGACTGGGAATCGAACCATGATCCTTTGGTTCGCAGGCCCACACTCAGTCCACTGAGCTACACCAGCCAGGGCTGAAATAGTGATATACTTTTAAACATCTGTGTATATTGTGTGATGTCTTGGTTTTAGATATTCCCCTTTTGAGGTCTGATTCCAGGTCTGCCACTGGTCTGTGTGATCTTGCACACTGTTACTTAAGCATGATGGTCATCAGTTTCCTCATCTTCAACACAAAGGCTTTATGTGAAATGTTTCTGAGATGGTAGCCAAGTCTAAAATCTTGTCCCGTGTTCCCTCAGATGATTTCAGCATGAATAATAGACTGGAGCCCTAGCTGGCAAGGCTCAGTGGGTTGGGTGTCATCTGGCAAAGTGAAAGGTCGCTGGATGGTTACTGGTTGGGGCACATGCCTGGGTTGTGGGCCAGGTCCATGGCTGGGGGCGTGAGAGGCAACTGATGAGTGTTTCTCTCACAAGTGGTGGTTTTTCTTCCTCTCTTTCTCCCTCCCTCCCCCTCTCTCTAAGTAAATGGAATCTTTAAAAAAAAAGTAATACATTGTAAAATCTAATAATTAGAATAAGCTAAGTGTCTAGCATGGCAGTGGGCATAACAGCAGCATCAGGAGGAATCCAGTGGAATCAATTCAGAAAAGAAAGGAATTAGGTATTTCCTGGACCCATCTGCCTTGTAGGCCCACCCGGAGGCGGGAGTGAGGAGGAGAATAGCCTGATGTTTTGCTCCTGACTGAGCTGGACTGAGCTGAGCTTGGAGAGGCCACTGACTTTGGACCTCCTGTGATGGGGCAGCGTGGTGCTCGGGTTCACACTGCTTGCTCACGTATGTCCCGGAGTGTATTGGAGCACCAAGAGGGCTCCGAGACGGGCTCTCCGGGTCACCCCAACCTTTGCCCAGGAGATGAGCCTAAAGTGACTAGTCACACTTGGAAGAGTCTGAAATGCGTGCAAGATGGTGTGTGCGTGCGGGAGGTAGCTTTCTCCAGCCAGATCACACGACCTCCCCACCAAGGATAAGAGCCTCTGGCGGGCTCTCTGCCTGGCCTGGACACTCAGATCTTTGTGACTGGACTGGAACTGGACTGGCTTTTAAATGTTGGAAATAGCCCTGGCTGGTGTGGCTGAGTGGACTGAGTGCTGGCCTGCGAACCAAAGGGTCGGTGTTTTGGTTCCTGGTCAGGGCACATGTCTGGGTTTCACGCCAGGTCCTCAGTAGGGGGCGCTCCAGAGGCAACCCAAACACTGATGTTTCTCTCTTTCTCCCTCCCTTCCCCTCTCTCTAAAAATAAACTAATAAAATCTTTTTAAAAATGTTGGAAATAGATAGCCATGCCCTTCTTTATTATAGATTTCCATCTGAATCAGTACTTTAATTAAAAATAAAAATATATTCAAGGAGTAATATAGTAAATGCTATGTATTGAAATGGTCAGGATGGGTTTTAGGGTCAGAGGGTGGGACCCCAGCTCTGTCCTTTAGTGTCTCGTTCACAGAAAGCAAGTTATTTCAACTTTCTACACCCCAGTTTCCGATCTGGGAAGGGAAGTGGCAACTGCCCTGCAGGTTGTTATGGAAACAGTCCGTGTGATGTCACCCAGGGCTAGCCTGCAGTAAGCCACAGAGCACGGCAACTGGTATTATCTCGAGTGGCTTTATGATCGTTGGTTGTCACCACCTCACAAAGGGGCCTGTGTGTGGACTCCCGACAACATATAACTTTTTAACCAAAAGTTGTGTTCAGGTAAAAGAGGTTCCAGATGTAACTAAACGAAGATAGACTTTGACGTAAAGTCACATTTATAATCTGGAGATTAGCACATTTTAACTTATGCCAAGAGATTGTACTATTTATATTTTTATTGCCTCGGTTGTGACCTTTACTGTCATTACTTCACCTACCGACAATTTCTCCTCCTGAGTGATAGCACTCGAATAAAAATAGACACTCCCTTCAGTTTTCCCTTAGGAAAAGAAAAAAAAAGGTGACACGGGGCCTGAATGGATTCGTAAGCCACTTCTCCGGTTGTGCTCCCGAGAAAGGGCTACTCTATATGTGAGGCATTTCTGCACCTGCACCTGCTCCGAATCTCTCTGCCCCGCCCTCAGCAGAGGCCCGGGGGCGCCGTCCCCCCAGCAGGTAACGTCCCCCCAGCAGGTAACGCGCACTGTGCTGCTCTTCTGTCTGCAGGGCGGCGGCTCCTCCCAGCTCCAGTCCTGGACTGTCCAGCCCTCCTTCGAAGTGATCTCGGCACAGCCTCCGTTCTTGCTCCTCCATCCATCTGTCCCGTCTCCCGTCCGGCCCTGTCACGCTGGTGAGAAGAAGTCGGACTCCAGGAACTACTTGCCCATTCTGAATTCTTATACCAAAATAGCCCCACATCCAGGCAAAAGGGGCCTTTCCCTCAGCCCCAAGGAAAGAGAACGTGGAACGCAGAAGAAAGTCTGCACTGAGAGACCCGGGCCGAGCTCGCCTGCCAGTGAGCCCACCCGGACTGATGCTGTGTCTTCCAGTCCCCCACCTGCGGTGCCCCCCGGCACCAAGCTGGCAGAGGACGCAGCCCTGCCGGGTGTGCCCTCCCTAGCGGCAGGTGGAAGTCCACAGACTCTCCAGCCAGTGTCCAGCAGCCACGTGGCTAAAGCTCCCAGTCTGACCTTTGCTTCCCCCGCCAGTCCTGTCTGTGCCTCAGACAGCACTCCGCACGGGCTAGAGAGCAACTCCCCGCTCTCCCCGCTGCCAGCTAATTACAGCTCGCCTCTGTGGGCCGCGGAGCACCTCTGCCGCAGCCCGGATATCTTCGCGGAGCAGCGGCAGAGCAAGCACAGGCGCTTTCAGAACACCCTAGTGGTCCTGCACAAGTCCGGCTTGCTGGAGATCACTTTGAAAACCAAGGAGCTGATCCGTCAGAACCAGGCCACTCAGGTGGAGCTAGACCAACTAAAGGAGCAGACGCAGCTCCTGCTAGAGGCCATCAAGGGCAGGGCTCCGCAGGCTTGGGCCAAGCTGCAGGCGTCTCTAACGTCAGGGTCCAGTCATACCGGCAGTGACCTAGACGCATTCTCTGACCACCCAGACATATAGCGCAGAGGGCATAGCTCCCTGTTACTCGAGTGGTTCTTCTCAACCCTTCGGCTGTTACCTTACTCCCATTTCCCAAAGCTTGTATAAGAGCTTCTCCTTCTAACCTAACCTGTTTGGCGGTTCACTTATGAAGCCACCTGCCGATACCTGGCTGCTGTCTTAACCTGTGGTCTATGCACAGTTTACACACGTCTGTTCTGCGGAGGACCTCAGCTTCAGGGTGTCCTTGAGTCCCTCTTCCTTAGTCTGCAGGCACTCGGATGGGTCACGGGGCAAAGCAGGAGAGAGGTGTGTGTGAGGTCCTTCTGATTGCCGCCGCCCACCATCCCACTCACTCCCCATGATCAGAGGTGCGGTGACGTGAATGAGCGTACAGAGTGGTACCTGTCAGGCCAGGAGTGGGTGACAAGGATCCCTTCACAGGTCTTCCCTGATCGTCTTACAGAAAAGTCACAGAAAAGTGAGAGGAAGTGTGTGTGTGATCCTGAGGCATCTCGACGTCTGGACGAAGCCCGAAGCGCTTGGGGCACAGGTCGGGCGTGGGGTGCAAGCACTTAGTCACTTAAAGCTTTGCTTCTCAAACCCGAAAGCCAGGAGGAAAGGGCGGATCCATCTCACCCTTACACTTTCATCACAAACCGGGTTTCTCTTTGCTCAGCCTGGCAGGCAAATAGCTTCAGGGTTTAAAGTGCCAAACACACTCAGTACCACCTGGCCTCACAGCGGGTGAGTCACTCTTTTGACTTAGAGTCTGAAGGAAGACATGGTCAGTATCTCTCAGTCAGGAGCTGGAAGATTCTGGTACTCTGTGCTTTTCTTTCTCCTCTTGAAACAATACAACAAGTTTTGTGTGTGAATTTTTTTAATTTTAGAGAAACATTGATTTGTTGTTCCACTTATTTATGCATTCATTGGTTGATTCTTGTATGTGCCCTGACCGGGGATTGAACCCACAACCTTGGTATATTGGGAAGGTGCCCTAACGACTTGAGCCACCAGGCCAGGTCTTATGTGTGAACATCTTAAGGATAGCTTCATGGTTCCTGAGAGTAAGTGGTGCAAGGTAACCCTCTGCTGCCGCTTTTTTGTTTTTCTAAAAGAGGAAACAAGTGCTTATTAAGATTGATGGATTTGGGATTAAAATCATCCTGAGGTTACAAGCTATATAAGCCCACAAATTTGGGGAACATCCTGTCAGCTTTCTTTTGGCCTCCAAGTCTTTGTTTCTCTCGTGTGTCACTCGGTGACGTGGTACAGTTGGGGAGCAGCGTCTTCTGTGTGTCCTGCACGTGTCGGACGGCAGCCACACACCTGAAGGCGTGGTGCTGCTCTCCGAAACCCACCTGGGGATGCAGGGCATGGGGAGGACCTGTAGGTGGGGCACAGTCTACAGCTTCATGGTCAAGGTAAACTAGATTTCTAGTAGTAAAGTCGGAAAGTGTTTCTCATTCAAAATTTCATCCTCTTAAAAATCTAAGGAACAACTTCTGGATGACCAGCTTTTCTGCAAGGAAAATGTTCTTGAAGTTCTACTAAGGCCAGAAAGAAGCTAAAGCTCGTACTTGCTAGGTAGCACTAACTCTAACAAAGGTTAAAAACTACAAGGCTTGGGGTTGCCTACACTTCGTTCTCAAACATGCATGAGGTAGGTAGGACAGACTTAGAAGTAAAGGACTTGGCAAAATCTCTGGACTCTCCTGATCAGTGCAGAATTACTGCCTGCCATTTGCTTTCTGAAGGAGTTTCAAAAAAGTCAGAGCAACTGTGTCTTTAAGCAGACGCAGCGACTCAGTAATGTCCCAGCCCACTCCCTTGGCCTTCCCGAGTCTCTGCTACTGCAGCCGCTCCAACCTGCGCAGCGTGCTGGGAAGCTTCCTTTCTGGTAGAGGGTGTTTGACGGCAAAGCTATAGGGACAGGTGCATTCAGAACAGCCAGGGCACGAGTCATGAGTCTTAGTGTCAAAAATCTGAACATAGTTGCTGAGAACCAAATTATTTCTGTCAGAAAAACCCTCTGGAGCTGTAAGCTTCTCGGACTCTTCTTCTCAGATGAGGGTTTGCATTTCCCTTCCTGTCCGTCACCGATCCTCACTGCCGAGTGGTGGGAGGAGGCAGCACCGCTCCCAGCTCTCCTCTGGTCTCAGCGCTGGAAGTCGCTGCAGGCTCTTAGCCTGGGTGCTCCTTCCCTAGGGGAGCTGTAGGCAGGTGGGCCAGCTAGAGAAGTTAGCTCTTGGAAGGACAGCCCGTTGAGACTAGCAGACGTTTGGGGCCAGGAGCCAGACTGGCAAATGGAGGATCCTTGGGGTTGACCCAAAAGACCTTCGCTGGTTGCACAAAGCTATAAGTAGCAATGGTCTTTGTCGGGCAGAATTTGGTCCAGCGTGACGCCCAGTGGCACAGCTGCTGTTTGCTGGAAGTGAGACTTTCTGAGCTCAAACCAGTCTGTAAGAGAACTTCTGGCAGGTTTTGTTGGCAATATTGAAACACATCTAGAAAAAGCTGCTGATTGAATTGGATATGGGGATGGAGTTTAATGACCTTGTAATTTATTACACTCTAATTGCTGTTTATCGATCATAGTATTGTCTGACTTTACTCTGATTCCTTCAGCAGAAAAGTAACTCTCGTGCATATACTGAAGTGTTTTTCTAGCTATGCATTCTTTAGGGTAGAGATTTATTTACCAAATGTGAATTCTTTTCAGGAAGTATGAAGTTTTGTAGAGATTGACTGTGAATTGTCAGAGAAAAATAAAGTCACTTACTTGAAAACTAGTTGGCCTTTTTGCTTTGTAACTGCTTGAAAATACTAAGTGAAACCCAGAGTGAATACCGGATTTGATTGAAGTTGCGAACGTGCACTCCTATCATTGGGGCATGTTGGGGCACGTTGGGATCAGATGCCGAACTTGCAGACGCCCATCACTCCAACTTGGACCAGTGTGAGGTTAGAAGAAGTGCAAGCAGTCTCCAGAGGAATGAGTGATGCGATGTCCCCTGGTCTCTCGGAGGTTTATACAGGGTAGGTTGGGAGGAGAGGAGAGTCCCACCCAATGATTCATTCCATCTGACCGGATGCTTAACAAGTAGAATTTTTATTGACAGAACTACTCCAGTTGTGTACTGGGATAAACTACAGCCAGTGAAGTGAAGTTCTTTCTACAACAGAGGGTGCCCTGGCCAGGGCACCGCCAGGCCTTCCTCTGCACTTCCTGGGGTTGATTCCTGATGCCCTGCTCCTCCTCTAGGCTCACCCGCAGAGTCTCAACAACAGGGAGATGTGTGGGGTCCTCCCTGCTCCCCAAGCCCCTCGTGGGTTTTTTTTTAAGACCCTGGGAAAACAAAAAGCTTATCCTCATTTAAAGGCCTACAGGGCTGCCAGCGTCTAACCCTTACAGCACTGTTTCTCCCCACACATTTGCTGAGTCACTTTGGGAACCCAGACCAGTGAGAGCCCACGAAGCAGGTTCTGCAAGACTGAGGCGGGCGCAGTTACTGAGCGTGTACCCCTCAGCCCCTCGGCATGATTTCCAGACGTGGAAACAATTCCACCTAGGAGGCCTGTGCGTGGACATGTCTAATTTGTGTTTTTTATGGTATTGCTGCAGGTTGCATGTCACATCTATCACTCACTAATGAGGTGACTTTGGATAGGTCACTGACCCTCTCGAGGTGTCACTCCTCTCAGTTGAATAATAAAGAATCGGAACTGGTTCTCCCCACAGTTCTCGGCTCTAACCATCTGTGAGATCTCTGGCTCTGTTACAGGTGGGTGAGCCGTAAAGTTAATGTATTCAAAATTTTTTAACCTACAATGTAGGTTCCTAGTGCTCTGTTAAGATGGCTTTATATGACAGTGCTCTGCTGGAGTTTTATCTTGTTACAGGTGACTGGAAGAGCCATTTTGCCAGTCCACATTGGTTTTTGTCTTTATCACCTGGTTGCAGCTCGAATGGATTCACTAATTCCCCTAGAAAAGACTATTCCCAAGCAAAGAACTATTAGCCCCAAAGGAGAGTAACTTGGGGTTAAATGAAATAATGGCCTTTCCTGGTCAGTCATCTGCAGACAGGGCTTTCCTCTCACCTGAGATGAGGGATGTAACTGGTTTCGTGTTTTGGAGAATATATCATTAGCTTTTATTTCCTTCCTGATTTCTCTGCCCCGCCACCAGGAAGGATGTTTCTGCGTGTCTGATAAGGAGTCTCTTAGGTTGACGTAACGTGATTTCTCAGGTAGTCACAGCCTACCTAGAGGCAGTGGCACTTCGTGAGGACTTGTTTCAGGTCCCCCCTGCCTTCTGGCCGTGACCTTTCATCCACATCGGCAGAGAGCTGAGCGATGAAGCGGTCAGTCTGGGCGACAGGGCAGCCAGACGGCTGGCGGGGGAGACAGCAGGCGGCAGACCTGGTCCTGCTGCTGTGGCTTCCTCTAGCACAAGAGGGGAGAGTAACACTTCGCCGTCCACTTGACATCCAGAGATCCTGGTGGAATGCCAAAAAATGACTCGAGGGCTTTAAAACGGCTCCGCAGAGCAAGGAAGCCTCTTTGCCCAAAACCCAGCGATGGAACGAATGCAAGTGAGGGCATTTCACCCCTTTGGGGTTGTCATTTGCTTGGGGTGATTAAGACCATCTTTTACCAAAATCTCATTTACAACTAACGGGAAGAGGGGACATCTCAATCCATCCTCTGACTGGTCTATTGCAAGGAGTTATTCTGTGGTCCCAAGTACGTTGGCTTTGTCTTCTCAGAATTTCTCCATTTTTCTTAGAACACGTGGCCATCCTATCTCTCTCCTTTTCTGAAGGGTGGTTATGCAAGACGTTAGAGAGTCACTTGAAAGAACAGTCTGCATGGTTCCTGCCTCCAATCACAGCAGCTGGAGGAGATGAGCAAGAAAGAGAAAAGCCTGTGGAGTCCGAAGTTAACACTGAGAGCGAGTGGGCGGCAGCTGTCAGGAAACGGTGGGGACTTAGCTGAAAGCGGGATCGGAGGCCAACCTGTGCGAGGGCCCCTGTCAGGCTGCTGATTAGCGAGTGGAGCGGGCCTTCAGAGTGGCTTGAGAGCCCGAGAGTAAAAATAGCTGCCTTTGATTTTCCTAAAGACTCAGGAATCGCAGTGGCTTTGGAGGAGGGCCCCACAGTTCTGGTAAATGTCTGTGTAACAGAGGCAGGCCGGGGCCTGTGCTCTCCGGGGGCAGCTGCAGGCCTTCCACCGCTGGGTGGGCAGATGGGAGCGCTGGGCCTGGAACCTGCCCTTCGTCTGCGGCTGAGAGAGCGCCTGAGAAACAAGGACCTGCTACTCCATGTGGATGGCGAAACCGAAATACCCCTACGGAAAGCTGGGTTGACATCACCATTCCTGCTCACTCCTCATACAAATCAATAAATTGCCCCCAAGTTGGGAGAAGAGAAGAAGCTTAAAGATTCCACGAATACAAAGCTGCCTCCTCCGCAGGCCCTGCATCATATTGAACGGATGCACGAAAGCCTGGACCTGGACATGTGGTCCTCCTAGTGAAGGAGGACCTACTGACCCCTCTGCTCTCCAGCCAGTCCTCTGGGCTTCTCCCCGAGGGTCGCAGGGCTGCTCAGGAAAGGCAAGTGAGTGGTCACTTAAGCAGACCACCACAGAGAGGGAAGGAAGGGCAGTGAACTGCCCAAACCAGCAGCCCAGGGGCCCCACAGCCAACGACGAAACTCCAGGTGCGGTTCAGACTGTGAGCTTTCCCTAGCAGTCCCGACACGGCGGCAGACCGAGGGGGTGAGGGTGACTAAGGTGCAAGTCTCTTTTCAGAGCCTCCACATTGATGCTTGTCTAGTCAAGAGTATTTGGAAGAATGTGCTGCTCTCGTTCTTGAAGCATTTTCCCAGCCTCAGCTACACTTTGAAGCCACTAAGTAAGTTACTAGTGAGCTAGTAAGTCCCCAGTGCTGCTGTGTGTTAGATTGGGCTGCAGTGACGGGAGTGGCCCGGGCCGGCGGGGCACTGGGTGAGTGGTGAGTGTCTCTGCCAGTGCGATTTTTTTTTTCTTTAAATCTCAAGAAGCCAGGGCTCTGGGACCCACAGGGTCAGAAGTGAGCCAGCATCTGACAGCGCAGGTCAGCCTCACAGTGAGTTCCACTCTGGAGGCCTTTAAACAGCCTCAGACGTGTGGTCCCCACCTACTACTCTCTCACACACACACCCTCAGATTTGTATTATTCTCAAACCCTGATCATTTCTACTGGGAAAAGTTGTAATGATTCCTGAACTTTACCTGACCACACATTGTCATTGGGATTCTTCAGGATAACAAACACATAAAGTCGCCAACACATTTATGTCCCAGGAGCTGACCTGGTTGTAGAGTGTGAAATGGGAAAGGAAACAGCGTGGCCCCTGCTCGCATTCCAGTGGGAAGGCACAGTGACCATCAGTTGGTCCCGCCCCCGCTGGCCTTGGCCTCATGGGAACTACAGGTCTAAAGTTGGGTGTGTAAGCCTGTTAAAGTGACACGTCTTACTCGTTTCATTGTAAAGATTAACATTCTAATAACCTTTGGGTTTAGCATCCGTTGATAAGGGCAGGAGTCCTTAACATTAAACTGGTAGTTGAGAACAGAAGTGTTGATAAAGGCTCAATATATTAATTAGTTGATAAGTTCACCTCGACACCCAAACACACTAGGGGAGAGTTCTCACAAGTGGATTATCCTGTTCAGTGACTCACCTTCAACGGCAACAGCACCTGTGTCTGCCTTCCCGCCCCCGCCTGCCCCCGTCCCCGGGCTGCCAGCAGGAGCATTCACTCGACCTCAAACAAGAGCACCGTCTTAAGTATTTCAGTAGGACCTGATCCTGTCCCTGGCAGCACCAAACACTTACTGAATGAAGCCAAGACCCACGGAAAAGTGCACATGGTCCCAGCCTTGGAGCCCGTACGGCTCAGCCACGAGACATGACTCTCAGGGAAAGAAGAAGAAACTCAAGGTGGTATGGCCTGGTGCCAAGGCCAACTCCAGGCCAGAGTTGGAGGAGCCGTCCAAAGCCTGCAAAGGAACTCAGGGCCAGTTGAGATTCCATCTCAGCTTTGGTGATGATGGAGTTTAGGCAAGTTGGGAGGTTGGGAACAGCATTTTAGCCAAAGGGAAGACATGAGGCGTCAGGGTGAGGTGGAAATATCATGGCTTTGGATCTGGATCTGGTTTCTGTGTGATCCTAGCAAGTTAGACAACCTCTCTGGGCCTTGTTTCCTCATCTGTTAGGTTACTACCTGCTCAAAGATGACATACTGTGCCATAGTGTGGACAGTGTCTAGAACAGTGGCCTCTCATGGCGGATGCTCAACAAACAGTAATCATAAGATTGTTACTGCAGCCATGTGAGGGCTCAGGACGAGCCGGATGAGCTGGCTTTGGTCCAAGGTCAGCCATTCACTTTGTACTTACAGGCAGTGAGCAGCCAAGCAGCCCAGCTCTCTGTCGGCCTCCTACACCCTGCTGCACCCAGAACAGAGCCCCTCCTTGGAACACACCTTCAGAGTGTGTTCCACTTGGCAAGCACACTCTCCCTAGCCTGTCCCAGGCCTCACCCCTCTTCGGGGCTATTCAGCTAGGGGGTGGGGAGCTATTGCTTGTCTGCCCTACCCTAGCTGGGATCCTTAATCTCACACCTGGCCCAGCCTCTCACAGGCACAATCTCTTCTCCACACCTGTGTCTGGTGAACTTTATCAATTCCCACCTTGCTCATGTTACTGCCCTCCTCAGGCACCTTTGCTGCTCAAGTT